TGGTTGATTAGGGATGTATGTTGCTAACCGAGCATCTGACAAAATTACACAACTCACTGATAACGTCTACGTTTGCCGCTCTGGATCCGTAATTCTTACTTCTACTTCAACTCATATTTCCTCGTGATATATTACACTTTTGTTTAGGATTTTTTTGCCCTCCACAACGGGGAAAAGGGAAAGAACGTTTAGATATTTTTAGATATGATGAGTAAAACGAGTGTCATGTTGCAGGCTGCTGATTCTCAGGTTGTTTCCGACTATGTCCGCTACTTCCTTCACCAACATACGTCAGTTCTTTTTTATACTTTCTCTTATTATTTGCTTTTCTTTTTTCTCTTTTTTTTAAATTTTAATTAACTTTGTTACTTTGCCTTCCTATTGAAGTTTGTTCCCATTTGAAACATTTGCGACATCCTTTATGGTATTAATACTTCGCTCGCATGCTAAAATTTCAAGAGCTTGTTAAAGGTTTTGTTCACCCATGAATGTGCTCATATATTCTACTCCACCTGATTGCAGTTCATAAACCTAGTTCTCATCTCATCCCTACACAATGACTTAGCAATTGCTTCCAGTTTGTATACTCCTACGTACTAATTAGCTTTGCACTATTTGTCTACACAATGCTTTAGCTTATTTGTGTTAAGTTCAAGTCATCATTGATTCTTGGGTTATTATTCTTTCTTCACATTTCTTATTACTATTTATGATTGTTTTCAAACTTCTACTATGAGTGATTGTTTAATAGCTTTCCCCCCTGCATGAACAGGATTCAGCTAGGGCAACCTGCAACTGTCAAAGTTGCTGCATATCTTGTCAGGCTACTATCCTACAATAACAAGGTTTGAGCTTACGATTTAGAAACTTTACTTGACTACTTTTTTGTTTGTCAACCATTTCCCATTTTATTATTCCTCCTTTTTTAAAGGTGTGCATGGTAAATTTAGTGCCTGTTTATACATCACCTCCCTATTATACAGATTTTATGTACTACTTGATACCAATGTAGTCAAGGGGGCAAGCACTCTAGGCATTAGGAGTCCTTTGTTGCTAGAGGTTCATAGAAAGAGCTCTCGCATGAGTAATATGAGGAACACATTTATAATTAAAAATATAAAATATATGTATGAGAATAGAGACAACAGCTGTGGTGCCTAAAGAGGAGAAGAAAGTAGAACAGGGTAGAAACAGAAAAATGAAAACAGTAGAACGCTTAGTAACAATTTTTTTTGTTTTTTGGAATTAAAACTGCCAACATTTTAATTTTGTCTCTAAAACTTTGTCGAGGATGGAAACTGGTCTATATTCTCTCAAAACATTATACATTTGAGTTTTCAGCTTCCTTTGTTGATTTTTTTAACCTAATAAAATTTGGTGTCATGGCTTCAGGAAAATCTTTGCATAGACTATAACACCTCCTTTTATTTATTTATGAACTGGATTTTATCACGCTCATGTTGCGAGTGAGAGAAAACATTTTATATAAAATTATATTTATCAAAATTTTATTCAACAAATAACCTTAGGTGGAGTGGTAAATGATTTGTATTTAAATCTATTAGTCATGTGCTGAATCCCTAAGTAGTGACTTCTAATTTTGTAATATAGTATGGATAGATAGATATAGATATTACAATTTTTTACTTTAAAAAATTGGAAGAAAAAACATAAATGCAAGAGCCATTTTTACTTGGGCCTGCCTTTTTTCACCTTGAACCCTAGCTTTAAAACACAATTGCGCACTAAATGCCGTCACGTCAACAAAGGAGTCTCTCCTGGAAGGTCTGGGGTATTAACTCTATCTGGTGATGTGCCTTCAGACACCCCCTGAATCAAATGATATGCATAATTATATGCATAATTTATCTTTTAGGATCAAATGATGATATTTTCATCTTTTCCCCATAATTCATATCTGTGTGGTTGACCCACTTTTATTATATTTTGAGTAGAACATACTTGAGACTGGCCTTATTGTTGGCGGATGGGATAAGTATGAGGGTGGTAAAATATATGGAATTCCTCTAGGTGGAACACTGATTGAGCAGCCTTTTGCTATTGGGGGTATGATAATCTCATCTTTTAACTTAAGCATCCTTTCCTTCCATTAGGGAGTGAAGCTTGATGCCTGGTTTGGCATTCCTTCTCATTAAATTACATGTATGCAATTATATGCATAGTTGGCATTTGTATGGTCTTTTTCTTTTGGCTAAGGTTCACCTACCTACTTATCTGTGTATTGCTAAGTCTGGATTTTTCTCTTTCCTTCCTAGTTCAGCCTGAGAAATTGGAGCTGGAAAAGGTTCAATGCAGTCATTATAACCTTGAGAATTTTGGCTAATATCCCTTTTAATCAGGAGTCGGTTGTAAAATATGTAAAGTCTTCTCCATAATTACTTAACTAATTACCAATGAAATAAGATTGACCTTTTTTCTCACCTCTAGTTATTGGTTTTTCAAAGTTGTACATCACCTAGTTCCTAAAGTGAACCTAAAATATTGGGAGTTCGGTTAAGAAAATAAGGGGTGCCTTTAGCAAGTGGTGCACTACTGTGGCAAAATAGTTATGATCTGGATTGACCTTCTTTGTGCAGGATCTGGCTCCAGTTACCTTTATGGGTTTTTTGATCAGGCATGGAAGGAAGGAATGACTAAGGATGAAGCTGAGGTACATTTTGTTTTATTCAAACTTATTTCATATTTTGTTTTCTAATTCTTTTAACAGCTTAATTCATATTTTGTAAAAGTACTTATTGATTGGTTGACCGTTAACTTCATTATGAATTGTTTTATGGAAATCCATTGTAGCAACTAGTGGTTAAAGCAGTTTCCCTTGCCATTGCTCGTGATGGTGCTAGTGGGGGTGTTGTTTGCACTGTGGTGGTAAGATATTTTGCACTTCTAAACAAATTATTCTTGCATGTATGATGTGAATTCTGTGTACGGATCTGGCCTTACGTTTTTTTGTGTTGTGTTGCAGATCAATTTGGAAGGAGTGACGAGGAACTTCTACCCTGGTGACAAACTGCAGTTGTGGCATGAGGAATTGGAGCCACAGAATTCGTTGCTGGATATTCTGAATTCCCCTAGCCCTGAACCCATGAACATTTGACCGATGCCAAGGGAACTAACCATTTAGGTACTTTTCAGCTGCGGCACTACATTTGTTCTTCTCACTTCAGACCTTTTGAACGATGTTAGTGTAGCTTGAGTGGGATTCAGTTTCGTTTTAAAGGGCACTAAAAACCATATTTGTTAATGATTAACGCATTTGGATGTTACGGATTCCTCTGCTGTCCTCAATTTAACTGCTGAACTAAAAGATATTCTATGGAATGGTTGCGATGCTGATGCCTCGCTCTATTAAAATAGACCTGTGTATCCCTATAGACCAGAGTGTATTGGTATGTGTCAAGTGCTTTAAGACAAAATAGACCTTTTTTATTCTTGATTTCCGATCAAAATGCTTCTACCTCAACCATTTATAGAGAATTACTGAATCATTTCATTGGAAAATGGAAGCTAAACTGTCACAGAAGACAGTTAAATTGACTGCTTTGGGTTGGAGTTCTTTATAATAGATCCGAGAAGCGGCTTAAAATAGTTCTTAAATACAAGTCGTGTACCATTAATATAATATCTATCAAGTGTACACGTAAATTTATAAAATTATTCATGTTTAAATAGATTTTGTTTCAATTTGTTCATTTTAATTTTATATAAAAATCAGTTATTTTTAAGATTTAATTTATTGATGGATAAATTTTCATAAATTTTTCCATGATTTTAAGCGTCTTGCAGATGTCTGTCATGAAACTTGGAACGCATTTTGTGCTCTAATTTCTATCCACCGATAAAAGGGTTTGGTTTTCCACCATTATTTTGTGTTCACTGTCATCTAATATATGTTTGTTAATTATTTACAAGTTTGTTTTTACATTTAAATAATGACAATCAATATGTTAAATATTAATAGATAAAATAGAATGGACTGGATTCTAACCCTCGTTCAACCTGAAATATTAGTTCACGTCTACCGTGTAATGTGCATACACACGGCTAAAATATAATAAAGAAAAAATTGATATGCTCAATACCTAGTTTTTTTTTTTTTTGTAAACAACATATTAGGGTGTGTTTGGTTGGGGGATGTGAGATTCCCATGGGAATGGAATTCACATTCTCCCGTTTGGTTGGCCGGAAATGTCATTCCTGGTAATCTTACATTACTAAAAGTGGATTTTTTGAATATATTACCGGGAATGTCATTATCTCCATTTCCTTAGGTATTGTTGGATTACTAGCGTTTTGGACTAAAATGCCCTTAATTTTTTTTCTTCAAAAATATATTTATTCTATCATTGAATAATAAAAATTCTACGAAGGTTAAATTACAAATTTATCCTTAAACTATTTTAGATTTACAAAAAAAAATCTATAATTAAAATTTTATATGAAGTTCAGGGGTTAAAATAAAATTTTATCATTTCATTAAACCTTTTTATATTTTCAATTTTGTAAAAAAATTATATAAAATTTATGAATTTAAATATTTTAAAGAAAATATATAAATATTTTCAACTCGTTAAAAAACAAATATATAATAAGAACAATTTGTTCAAATATACATTCTAATAATCTTTTATTCCTTTAACAAAACACGGTAATCTTACATTCCTGCTAAACCAACCAAACACAAAATACAACATTCTCAGTAATCTTATTCCTAGATAATCTTTTATTCCCACTGGTAATCTTACATTCCGTGAACCAAAACGCACCCTTAATGTCAGAGAGATGTTTGAATTTGAGCAAATAATCGGGATAAGATGAAGGTGAAACATGAGATTGTGGGCTAACTAAGTTCTGTTTATAGTGTTGGGCTGTTGTGAATGGGTTTGGGTTTCATTGTACTGTTGTAGATATATATAGTTATAGGAAGTTGGCGCCGCTGGCAATTTGCCAATTGGCAGTCGGCTGGTTGAGATTGAGGGAGGAAAGAGGAACGCGCGTACTAAATAAATAAAAAGATTTAATATAATCTATCGGAATCGGATCGGAAGTGAAGGAAAATGAGCCAAGCAGCGGCGGCGGCGGCAGCGCACAACGTATTTGTATACGGAAGCCTATTAGCAGATGATGTGGTCCGTGTCCTCCTGAACCGAGTCCCCCCTTCCTCCGCTGCTGTTCTGAATAACTTGTATATATATATATTTTCTCATCTCATCGGCTTCATCCGTACGCAATTCAATTATCAACGGCTGCTGCTTTTTCTTTTAATTTTACTTCCAATTCTCAATTTGTGCAGCCACAGATTTAGCATTAAAGGACGCGTTTATCCGGCAATTCTCCCTGTCCAAAACAGTCATGTTACCGGCAGGGTGTCCCGTCATCCCTATATTCATTAATTCATACAAATTATAAATGAATACTCTACCCTTCTGTCTTTCTAACTTGCATCGGTGGTGTGGCAGGTGTTGTTGGGACTAACGGATCCTGAATTGCTTATTTTGGATGAATTTGAGGATGTTGAGTACCAGAGGACTAGCGTTGAGGTCTCTTCGCTGGTAACTTAAGTCCTAATGCCCTCTACTACTCATTCTAGCAGTATACTAGTCCAGTCTAACCCAGTCTTTCTCAATCTTTTCTAATGTTTCTGCTGTTCTCCTTCCTTTTGGCTTGGCTTGTATTGAAAATTGATTCTTCAAGGTGCTAAAATATATTCCCAACACATTCATCATACGCATTCCCAAATTAAATACACTCTCTTAATCGAAATTAGTAATAATTATATTATGATTAAAAGTTATATGCTCTGTTATTCCATTATGCAGGAAAATTCTGACAAGTTACAAGCTTACGCCTATGTCTGGAGCAACATAAGTGATCCCAGCTTGTACGGAGAATGGGATTTTGAGGTATTTTCAACTTTCTTTTTGGCTACTATTTCAAGTTTCAACACCACGGGGTACTTCGGCTGTGCTGCACCTAAAAACAGTTAAAAAATGGCTATTAAAGAAGTGGTCGGTTAAAATTTAGACCGGTTATGTTATATCATTTAACCAAAAATATTATTAAATATATTATCAAGCACAATAACATATTAGGTAGCGCTTATATAATGTAATGTAATATGTAGCGCTTATATAATGTAATAGGTAGCGCTTATATAATAAAATAGGCATTTAACCAGAAATATTACCAAGTACAATAACATATTAGGTAACACTTATATAATGTAATAAATAGTGTTTATATAATGTAATAAATAGTGCTTATATAATATAATAGATAGCGCTTATATAATGTAATAGATAGCGTTTATATTGACCTATTTTCTCATTAAACCGGTAAATTTCAACCGGTTACATTGTAAATTGACCTATTACATTATAATTATCGGTTCCGATGTTTTTGAGATCGATATAATTTTAAATGTATCGACACTTTATGCGTGCACCTGTTTGTGCTTTCATTTTGTAAAAAAAGTATCGACACATATTTAAAGAGTGTCGATACATAATGTAGACATATTTGCTAATTAACCGGTATATTTTTACCGTTTACATTGTAACCTGTTAATAATTATCGGTTTTAATGTATTGGGATCGATACTTTTTATAAATGTATCGACAGTTTATGCGTACACCTCGTCTGAACAAATATATCGACACAAATTTAAAGAGTGTCGATACTTTTTAGGCGCTATAACTTATTCTCTTTTAAATTTCAAAAGTGTAGATACTTATATTAAAGTATCGACACTTTCAACATATCCGGTAGTTCTTTATCGGTTTTATCATTTTGAAACCGGCTTTATCATATTTTTAGTTGTTATATTGTTATAGATCGATACATTTTCATAAAGTATTGATACTTTTTAGGCGCTATAACTTCTTCTATTTTAAATTCAGAAAGTGTCGATACTTATATTAAATTATTGACACTTTCAACATATCTGGTAGCGCTTTACCGGATTTGTCATTTTGGGATTGGTTTTGTCATATTTTTACCTGTTATATTGTTATAGATCGATATTTTTTTAAAAGTATCGACACTTTATAGGCGCTATAACTTATTTTCTTTTAAATTCCAAAAAATTTATATACTTATATTTAATTATCGACACTTTTAACATATCCGATATTTTTTACCGGTTTTGTCATTTTTAAGATATGTTTTGTCATATTTTTACCTGTTATATTGTTATGAATCAATACATTTTTTTAAAGTATCGATATTTTATAGGCGCTATAACTTCTTCTCTTTTAAATTCTAAAAGTGTCGATACTTATATTAAATTATTGACACTTTCAACATATCCGGTATCGTTTTATCGGTTTTATCATTTCGAGACCGGTTTTGTCATATTTTTACCTGTAATATTGTTATGGAGAGATATATTTTTCATTTGTATCGACACAAACTGACAAGTTAAGTTTGCCGGTTGCCAAATTTTTTAATATTTCTTCATGATTTAGACCTACTACATTATTATTACTCAATATTTCCGATAGCGCTAAACTGAATTCATTAAATATATTATAATATATCCGATAACGCCGTATATTAGCCCGCCTTCACCTTCACGGATGGGTGGCCTGGGATTTGTGATTTCAAATTATTCAAATTCTATACATTCTGGCTAACAATAAATTCAGAAACTAAAAATAAATAAATAAACACATAAAGGTCCATAATCCTTCTTTGTTCCTTCCGTTCTGCTATGCTAATTAACTGAAAGGGTTAACTTTACATTTCTCAAATTGCATCGTGCGTACTTTGTTTCTGGAATTGTTTAATTCCTATCGCGTGGTACTTCTTTGTGCCCCTTTTTCTTCCCTCAGCATTTTTACTTTTGCAAGTCACCACTCATTTCCTGCCATTCATATATGATATCGAACATCATCAACATTACCTAACCCGATCTGATCTATTTGGGATTTTTGCTTTATCATGTCAGTTTTATATTTTTCAAAGGATACGGTTTCATTGATCAGATGACCCATCTTGATTTTACTGTAGAAAACTGTAAACTTCTTTTAAAAAAATAAAATAAAAAAAAGTACTCCAGTGTAGCAATTGCCTTAAAGGGCAAATAACAAGAGCTGAATAGTGGAGACCGGCATTGAGTGAGGAAGTTTTATCATGATGAGGAACATGGGATCTAAAACTGTGTCTGTGTGTGTATATTGTGCACCGGATTCATTGTTTGTGATTGTATATTTGCATGTGTTAAACAGGAATGGAAACAATTGCACAAGGAAAGCTTTACCAAGATGACCATGGGATTTATGGAAGAACTAGAGCTGCCTGAATCAAAGCCAAGAGTGGCCACATACGAATCTTTCTATCAGCAAGGTTCTGAAAATTGAGGAAACGATATAATATAGTTTCTTAACAATCTAGGACACTCGATTGTCGTCGATCGATGTTAGTTATCTGTTTGTTTTGCTATTTGCCTAGACTGAATAATATCGCAGCATGTATGGCATTGCAGACAATTTTTTCTGTATTATCATAATGATGTTCATTTTATGTGCAAAGTTAGCACAAACAAACGATGAATTTCAGTTCAATGGTCACAAGGCACCAACTTGGAGCCTTTCTTAAGGCCTTGCTCTCTTCGACAGAAGGAACCAGCTAACTGATAGAACTAGGGATGGGCATAGATCGGGTTTCTGCCAACCCGACGTGACTCGAAAATTTTATATCTTTCACCCGACCTGATCTACTCGAAATAATAAAAAATCTTATTTTTATTCAATTAAAACAGTGATTTAATTGAAAAAATAATATATAAAGGGATATTATTATAATTATTTTATTTTTATTTAATAAAAACAGTGATTTAATTAAAAATAATAATATATAAAGGGGTATTATTATAATTATTCTTAAATATATAAAGTAAAATATTTTTTTCTCAGATCGGGTTGGGCATTTTTATCCCAAATCTGAAACCGACCCGACCCGAACAACGCCTTTAAAAAAAATCTAACCCGACCTAACCTGAACCTAATTTTTTTTATAAAAAAAACCTGACTTAATCAATTCGGTCTCATGTCCATCCCTAGATAGAACTCCGTTATGCATTCCCCTCTCCCCTTGTAGTGCTCCGCGCTCCTACTGCTCAACCCCACATCTCATACGCCATAGGCATCACCAACTTCATTTCCCAGGTGTACCCAGTCCCAGTCCCAGTCCCAGGCCTTTTCCGCCCCCACCATGAGAGGTCCTGCCTTCGTCTCCTCCACCACCACGAAGTTCATCAGAATACCCTCACAATTTCGCATCTCATCAACAATCCTCCTCATCTCGCGCATTGGGGCCACTTTGCAATACTACTTGAATAAATACTCCCTCTTCATCATCATGAACTTGGTGAGCATTATGGGATACTTGTCCGAATGCACCGAATGAGTCCACTCCTTCCTCGTCAAATCTAGGAAAATTGCAGAAAAACAGCAAAAACTTGAGCAGGGCAAGTGATTAAGAGAGCGGACTCAGAGGGGATATATAAAATGCATACCTGAAATTTATTATCAAGACAGAGTAGGGAATTTGGACAACTGATGGACATGCTTACTTTAATGAATTCATTGAATGCCTACTGCAAGAAGAGCAAAATATATATATTATGGGATAAGATCCTATTATATAAGATAAAACTCTTTAATTTTATAAAATTTTAAGTACAGTTGTATGAGTAAAAATAGATTATTGAGATTGACTTTTTGATTTTTTAGTAAATACCTTTTCTTTGTTTACTAATAATATATGTCATTTATTTTCACTTATCAAACGTTCTTAAATCTATATAAAAGTAAAATAGTTTTATATTGGGTAAAAAATACATCATCTCATATAAAAGCTTGACAAGAAAGTATAACATGGTTAAACTACAACATTAGTCATCAAACTATTGTATTTCTATAATTTTGGTCACCATGCTATTTTTTCTGCAAAAATGGCAAGTAATATTACGATTTCTTTTCTATTTTAATTACTAATCGTTAAAAATTTAATGAAGATAATGATGTTTCCTAATATAATAATAATTTTAGTCCTTAAAATTTATATATTATATCAACTATAGTTTTAAATAGCTCAATAAAGTTTTGGGTCAAATCTCAAATTTCTCATCCTATACAACAACTTGGTGTAGAGGAAGACGAAAGATGATGAAAAATTTGAGGTTTGATCTAAAATCTTATTGAATTATTTTAAATTATGATTTAACTGATAGAATATATATATATATATATACACCAAGTGGATAAAGCTTATTTAGCAAGAATCACACATGCTTTTTGTAAGCACATAAATAACTTCCATAAATAGTTTGAAATATTGAAAAAGAAGATTGGAGAGACTGGTTAAACCCTTTTCATTCGACTCTAAATTAATTATAGAAAAAATACAACTTTAATATGCATACAAATATATGAAATTTTCATTTAGTGTATGTAACGTAAGAAATACAAAAATTACATACAATCGTCCATCCATTTCCTGTTTTTGTTCATAAATAAATTCGTATACAGATATTACATGATGTGTATGGATAAAAAAGTGATAGTGATAAGAAGACGAAAACAGAATACAGGTAGCAGCACCACTAAAATTAATTAATCAGTGGTCTGCTAACATCATGAGAGCCCGATAACCCCTCCGGCACCGGCACATTCAGCTCCGAACAAACTAGCTCTACAATCTTTGAAGTGACACCCCCAAATGACATTTTGTTCAGAGTCACAGCCATAGCAAACCGGTTCCTTACATCACAAAAACCTGTAGATCCCCCCATTCCCGAGTGCCCAAACCCAGTATATGACCCATCCCCATCTTTGGATTTAAACCTCCTAAATCCTAGTCCAAATGTCCCATCGCCCAAACACAAATTCCCATATTCACCTACTCCCATGAATGCCTCATGAACCTTTGGATTTGAAAATATCTTGCTCTTCTTGCTTTCAGAACCTCCACCCCTCTCTCTTTTTGCAATGCCCTCACTTGTACCCCTGCTACTTCTGCTATACTTCTCTACATCATCTTCGTCATCATTGTCCTCCTCAATCCTGGCATAACTGCTTTGCTTACTATCATTACTTTCTTCTACCTTAACCTTTTGCTTTTCATGGATCTTTTTCGAAGGAAATTTGGGGATTTGGGGATGGCTTCCAAGTGGAGAATTTGAAATAGAAGAATGTGGTGGTGGTACCATACCACCATCAGCCAAGGCTGCATAGTAACGTGCAAGTGCACGGGCTGAGCAATGTCCATTAGCAGCAGGTATGATAGCACGACGGATGTTGAGCATATTAAATATAGCAGGCAAGTATTCTGCAAATTCACCAATGTTGTTCAGTTGGAAAGTCGATGGCAGCTCTGGTCGATTCTGCATTTCTGACAGCTTCTTCAAATCATCCGTATCTAGCGTCAGTGTAGCAAGTCGAGATTCCACACCTGGATGTTAGAACATAAAGAAGGCATCACATACTAATTTGAGAAAGATGAAGAGAACCTGCACAAGCAATGAATATGGAGCCATTTCTACATAATGAATCAAGAAGACAAAGACGGGAGATTAAATTACCAGGAGGAATTCCAACATATAGCTCGCCTTCAATTTTGAGAGGATGAATGAAAGCTTCTTCAAGAATCTCCTGGAATTTCTTCCCGGATGCATGCTGTTTCACCCAAGTAAATAAATTAAAACCAGGTTATATGAGTGAGCCAGCTATCCTACAATTTCAAGTCAGTCGGAATGTAAGGAAAAAGAATGTTATAATGATAAGAATGAGTAATCAAGTAGGAAGCATGAAATGTGTTGCTGGAAAGACGTTTTTTTTAAAAGCTTGGCGAGAAAAAATAGATCAAATAAAACAAACGTCCTAAAACAAATTCAAGCAAGAGAGTTATGAGAAAACGCACCTCCTACTATCAAAGTTTCCAAAAGAATTTAGCATCTCCAAGTTAGTCAAACTTCACAGGAAAAATATTTATTAAAAGTTTTGAGCTTTCCTCCAAGGGATGGAATAGCTCCATTTGAATTCAAACAATACTATGATTCGACTTGATTGAAAGCTTAGGTGTGAATAATGATTCGTCACGATTACCAACTCCATTAGTCCTAAAATCTCTTATATTACTCGGACTCTAGTGTGAATACCAAATACAGGTATGTAACGGCATGTTCAACTTTTTCTCAGGTTTGTTTAGAGCAATATTGTGTTAGCAATGAAGCTTGGAGATGAAAGAAAAGGGTACTTTTTGTACGGAGTAGACTCATCCTAAGGGGAAGAAGGAACTTACAATCACAGAACCCAGGGTTAGAGGTGGTGGGTCTCTTGGTTTTGATTCTGTGTTAGTGTACAGGGTCTTTTCACGAATTTTGGGGTCCTTGGAGGGTCATATCTCAAGATATATATCCAGATATGTGTGCTAGACAAGAATACTCCTAAGAAAAATGAAGTCGGAGCAATATAGCTCCATTCATCCCCAACAATATCGAAAGATTAACCTTTTCATCTTCCCAAATATGTATCATAATGGAATTAAATGAAATGCTCATTCTAGGAATATGGTTAAAATCTTAATGCTCAATCAAGTATATGGGAAAGGTACAGTGACGTAATTCAATGAGTAAGCATGAGAAAATACCTCGATTATTCCACCACATAGCCAGCCAAAAGAAAGATAATGATACAACTGCTGCTTCCCTGTTTCAGTCTCAGGTACAGATTCTTCCATCCGTTTCAAACATTCATCCCACTCAGTCATTAGTAAAGGATTTTCTGCTCTAAGGTTAGCCAATGCATTATGCAAACCAGATGTATGGTTAAGTATATGATGAACCTGAAAGGGAAAAACTCAAGGAATTAGTGTATATTGAAATACTTATTCTAAATAATGTTTATCCAAATTAATAGGCTTTTATGCACATAATTATAACCTTTATGTGCTCCTTTCCATTTCTTCTAAATTCTGGCCAAATATTTGCAACATTTTCTTCAAGTTTGAGTTTTCTGCAAGACAAGGTATCATTAGTTAGAGACTATAAAAGAATTCCGTAACTTGATTTATTTTTTAACAGATATCTTCTATGGAAGAAGTTGCATATTATTTGCAATTTAAACCACTTATTCCTGCATGTGACATTTTTTGCAGGCATTCTAACTTCTGGATTTTACAGGATAGTGCATCCAAAGACATTTTTAACATAAAATTTTACCCGTTGTCTACCAGCCAGTGTAACATTCCTGCAGCTATACCCTTTGTCGCAGAAAAGACAGAAAAAAGCGTATCAGGCTGAACTGGGCGAGGATCATATCTTCCAAGCACTCCAGCAGCAGTGTCAATGATAACCTCCCCATCTTTGTATGCACATACCTTGAGATAAAAATTGAAAATATTATCAGAATTAGCAGAAGTTAAATATACTTTTAAACTAAAGCCTGACCAATACGGTAGTAGATTAGCAGTTAAAATACCAAAATCACTCTTAAGATTGCATTTGGTAACTAGGATTTAAAAGAAGGAATTTGGATTTAAAATTTAGTATAAATTGTGTGATAAAGCATGTGTAATTATGAACTTCATGATTATTGCAAAGTCATTGATTTATTAAATGCCTATTTAGGGATGAATAGGAAAGACCTATAAGAAATTGTGAATATGAAATTCATTTTATTATATCCCTTCAAAATTATAAACATATTTAATCTCAAGTTCATATTTGCAAAAATAGCATAAATACACTAAGAAAACAACTTAATCCCAAATGCATTCCCAGGAAAATATGCACAGTGCAGTAGGATTAAACCTATACATTAGATATAACAACATATTTTGGGACCATAGAATACAGCACGTTTAAGTCCTCTAGATATACTTATGAAGATGAATATGGTCCTACTACACTGCATGATATTGAAGTACTAGGGGGTTGCAGTCTCAGTTATTGAAGCTATTTCAAGACACAAAGGACTGGATTGAAAAAATCACTACATAAGGAGAAAGAGTGGAAAAAGAAGAGTGAAGTTCCACAGATGCGTTAGTGGAGTAAAGGCATATAATTATAGGCCAGGCATCAAGCTTGAATATTAATTACAGCAGTGATGTAATGAAGGAAGTCAGATAAAATATTAAGAAAATGAAAAACAAAGGATTGTCAGATCATCAAACCACAGTCTAATAACAGATAGTGCTGCAGACCTGAATCCCAAGTATTTTATCAGTATTTCCCAACTCAACTAAGAGCTGTCTCAGCTTGGCTTCTACATCAGAATGTACTGGTGTGTTGTAGATCCACTGTACATTTGTCGATGGTCCTCTATTAATGTTTCTGACAATGTAATCACACTCAATATGAGATTTTTTTCATAAACTTGACCTTGTAATCTTAAGATAGACTCACCCTTGAAGAACGGATTCAGCAAATGGTCTCATGATGTCTAAATATACTATCCGGACATTCATAGTGGATGAAAGCCCTAAATTAAAGTAAAATAAGCGATAAGCTATCGAAGTGCACAATCATTTAATACAAGGTGAATGTAGGAATTTCAATTACAGACCTCTCAGAAGATTTAAAACCCGTGCAAAGATTACAATATCACCCGGAAACGCATCAACCTAAAAATAAATCATAGTTAGTTAATGATGGATTAAATAGTTAATGAAAATGCCAAAGGAAAAATAGCAGTAGATGTAATGTACTTACAGCGCTAGTACCAAAAGAAACCGAAGAAATAAACTTACCGGGTTGAAGCGTTTAACTTCTTTAGGGTTGAGCTGCATCTTTTCCTGTATAGCCTTCATGTTTTTTTCTCTTTGCTCGTTCAAGGATTTCAAATTTTGCTTCATGCAAAAAGAATTAGCATGAGATGATCTTGAAGAAGTAAACAAACAATTTTAGAGGCAAGTAGTGGATACCTACCTGAGCTTCATTCGCTGGTGTAGAACTACGGAAGAATACATTCGTTATCTCCATAACCTGCTCAGGCATATCTAGGCGCAACCTGAGGCCCATTTCTGACATGGCAGACAAAAGAGCCACATGGTCACCCTGCGACAAAAAGTGATGTATTATTTCATAATTGAGACTAGAATAATAGAAACGTCAAAATATAACAGTGAATGATATCTGACATAAATATTCACCTTGCAAAGATGAATATGGAGAACTAAATTATATTTGAAGGTCTAGAGTTGTTGAGACCAGTAAAAAATGATATATATGAATTAGGATGAGAACATAATCCTCACATTTGAAGTCCAAAGAAGAGAAAGGTTAAATGAATAGTGGTATAACAGGAATTAGATGACTATTTAATGCTAAATCAAAGGAAGACAAAATAAGGTAAATTACAGCTCAAGGAAAAATATTGAGCCATCAGTCATCTCCATAATGATCTAAATTTCAGATAACCAAGAGCTATAGAAAACAAATTACAAAAATATACATATAACAAATAGACACAAACCTCGGAAGAAGCCAAAAACATCTTTGCTAGTGCTTGCTTAATAGAGCTTGATAGTTTTTTTGTAAGTCCGAAATCAAGTAAAATTGGACGATGAGGAGCTTCCTTGCTCACAAGGAAATTTCCTGCAAATAAGTTAACAAGAAATATTACATTAAAAGGGGGGAAATCACAAGTAGAATCATGAGGATCAGAAATAAACCACGTGAATAATTTTAACAGAGATTAAACCACAGAGGATACATGGATGGATAGATAAATATATAGATACATAGACTCGTGATAGATAAATATATAGATACATAGACTCGTGATAGATAAATAGATTCTAAACAACACAATAGAACCAGGATGTAGATAGCCATTAAAAATCCATCAGCATAGTTGGCAAGGCAAGAGAGAAAGTGATACCAGGATGGGGATCACCATTAAAAAACCCATCAACATATATTTGGTGGGCATATGCACGAGTTATTTCTTCAACAATCTTTTGTTTGTCAACACCAAAAGCTTCCAAAGATGCAGAGTCATTCAGACGAATTCCATCCATGTACTCTAAGATGAGGACATTTTTGGTTGACTGTCATTAAAGCCAACATGATCAGAGTAAGCGTTTATGAGCAGAAATGAAAACATATACCCACAACGAAGGAATAATCTTTGCATGCTAATCAGATAAATGGTAAAGCCTCAAGTAGGCAAATTCTTCCTCACGTGGAGATTTCACCAAGCAAAGCTAGAATTTTCACACACTATTAATTTCTCCGCCACATTCCAAGAAGAACCGGGTATTATAAAGAGAAGTACATTCAAAGATAAACGAGGGTACGAATACCATTCTTGTTTTAAAAGAAATCATTAAAAACACAGATTTTCCTATAAAAAAAATTAAAAACACAGATTTGAAAGCCTCATGATTTGTTTAATATAAACAAACACCTCCATACGTATATCTGACATTAGTTCATTTTTATTTTGGTTATATGAAGTTAATGTAGCACTTCTAGTTGTAAGTTTTGCTTTTCCAGTTTTTCAAATTATCTAGGTGTTTCTTTGACCCTCAAAGAGGTAACAATTTAAGGAGTCATTAGTTTAGAGGGATTTTCATATGTATTGATCTTACACATTAATTCCACATGGTCACAAAAAAAAATTTATTTCCACTTCTAGATCTTCATACTCCAGTGCTACCTCTCTTTAATTTACAAGCAAATCATGATACCAGAAGCATAATATTTTCTGATGTTCAGATGACAGAAATTCTAGCAGTTCATAACTATATCGGATCACAAACACTCTGGAACATTCAAGAACAGTATTCACATTCAAAGGTTAGGTCAGAATATACCTGAATAACATCTGGAATCAAAACGTTCACACGGTTGGAAGAGTAGCTCTCACCGGGAAACATTTTGCACCCAAGATTTCTAGACACGATTCTAGTATTCTCTACAAAGACGAATGCAACAACAAAAATGAAAGGAAGAAAGAAAGAAAGAAAGAAAGTAATAAATTGAAATTTTTCCAAGAATATATTCGCATGACTTGAAAGAAGAAAGAATTATGGGAAAGCAGACAATTCAAAAAACCAGACTTGTCCATCTTTCTCTTTTTGACCTTGGTACGTTAATGGCCCAAATCCAGTATTAGCATATAACTTAATGAGTTGATCCATTCCCATGATCCCAGTAGGTTGGATGCCTGACCACTACACGGTCGAACAATACATTTAGATCTCCACAACGCCAACCAGCCACCAGCAACCATTACTATTATGCTGATGCCAAGAAACTTCCATTTGTCACTGGTTTTCAACCATGACCAGCATTATTGCCACAATTTCATTTTCCAGTTCATGCACCAATTGCTACCTACTGCGCAATTCCCAATGACATTTTAAAGTCGAACATCACTGTTCCCTACTGTCACGGAACACAATATCAAAGCAGCCATCACCAGTACAACCGGCATTACCACTTTTTCCCAACTAAATAGAAGAGAAGATTCATCTTTTTCCCAACTAAATAAATCAGATATAGAATAAACCATGTTAAATGGTGCATACCAGCTTCATGATTGAAATCAAGCTCTTTTGGGGATTCTTTGCACCATTCATCTATCATTGGATTGAAGTCATATTGTGGTTCCGCCCAAGCTATCCACTCTACAATTGACTTTGCATTCTTTAAGTCCTAAAAGACAAAAGCATGCCTAACAATCATATAACGACAACAACTCTACTTCACACACCATCGTCTAAAATGCCAAAGCATAAAAACCTCCAATATGATTGCTCTGATGCCCTCATGCTGAACTTTAACCACCACCTCTTGTCCATTGATTAATTTTGCTCGATGGACTTGTGCAATCTGCATGGAATAAAAGATGTCCTCGTTTGTCAATAAGAGTGTAAAGGAAATTAATTTCATTTCCCTTTGAAGAGCAAAATAAGTACAGTCCTCCTTACTGATGCTGTTGCCAAAGGTTCTTCCACAAAATCAGCAAAGAGGTCGTCCATGGTCTTGCCAAACTCCTTTTTTATAGTCTGACAAACCTGTGCAAATAGAAAATTATAAAAAAGTATCCAGTCAATAAATGCATGTGGAAGGACTGATAGGAAGACGAACATAAACAATCATATATAAACTCTCCACCAAACAATAGATATGTATAGAATCAATTGAAAGCTACTCCTCTGCGACTTTATCCACATCTTAGTAGGATTTTCTTACAATTCATTTATTGAAGCCTTTGAGAACGACCTATGCATAGAAATGTATAGAATCAATTGAAAGTTACTCCTCTGCGACTCTATCCACATCTTAGTAGGATTTTCTTAAAATTCATTTATTGAAGCCTTTGGAGAACACCTATGCACCAAGCTACCTCTTGTATGGGTTTTTTATGGAATTCTAGATCAAAATCTTAAAATTAAATCCCAAAAAAAAAATATTTGCCAATATTCTGGTCTGCAGGAAACCATATCAGTCTTTATCCTTCTCTGAACCAAAGGGGTTAATGTCTTTTATGAATTAAAAATACTCCCAATTTGACGTAAATTAAATTTCAGAAATAAAATTTTGCTGACAGTTGCATAATGATTTCTTTAAATAATTTACAAACATGGCCTTTACTTAAACAAAATGGAAAATGGATGAATGTGGCAAAAGCACTAGGAAACCTAGTTATATATCCAGTCACGATGGCATATACGCACACTGAAAACAACCTGCCAATAACATCCGGTCATTACACTGCACATGGTGACTAAAATCCAATTAAGCAGGAGTACAGGACAGCTTCCATACATTGTGTTGGCAAACCATGGTATTACTAATCATCAGTTTGTACGACTTTGATACATAAATTACAAAGTGAGATAACGTGATGATAACAACCTCAAAACCACATCAGTTGAGCAGATAGGCAATGGAGGAGATTTTCTAAACTACTAAATCTCATTTTCTTTGTTCATAATCAAAGTGATAACATTGGGTAATAAGTTGATCTCTGAGCATCAAAATATAGAACGATTACCTCTTTTAAGGGACGAGGAGGAAGAGAATCCTGTAATTGCTTGAGAAGGGATATATATGCTTCAGGAAGCACATCAGCACGTGTGGATAAATATTGCCCAAGTTTCACCCATAAGCCTTCCAACTTTATTATCAAACTGAGAACACGCTTAGCATTGCGCTCGTGAGCCTTTTCCCATAAAGCAGCTCTTTTTGATTTGCTAGTCCATTTCTCTCTTCGTTGCACAGCCTTCAGACAAAGGAGAATGTAGGTGAATTATTTTGTCCAAGCATTAACTCATAATAGAAGTGAGAATCAAGAAATTTACCTTATAATCCAAGTAGATTATCAAAGCCATTGTGAATACTCTCACACGTCTTCTATAAATATTTCCCCACCCCATCAGACAAGGAGCAAAATGAAGCCAATATAATGAAGTTCACGGATTTCTGGGGAAGAAAAAGAATGATCAGAATGTACTACAGCACACAATTCGATGAACAAACACTAGCATGTGCACTCATAGGTGGGCAGTTAAACAAAAGCTTGAAGCCACTAAAAGTTATGAAAATAGGATATGAATTCAAAAGAATGTCATTTTATCAACAAAAATCACAGTAGGAGTAAAATGAATGAATTATCAATATTTATGGTACAACTACTTAAATTTTACTTTTCTGTTTTCTTCATCCTCTACTCACGCACAGTTACACCCAGATGCATCTAAACTATCTAGTGAAGATTGAATTTATGAACACAACCCATATCTTCTGCTCATTCAGTAATACTTATATCTATACTGTTATATTTTGTGCTCTTTCTGGAAGAATGGATTATTTGAAATTTAATTACATACAAGGAAAATATGGCTTATTACAAGAAATCAACAATTAACTGCAAAATCAATGCTTGAGATACAGTAGCGTTGAGACTCGGGCAACAAAGCAGATAACCACTATCATGTAATCAGTCTTCTCTACTATCCTTGGAAACGAAATTACCAGTGGCAGTCGCGGAGGAAAAGAAATAAAAATCCATTTCAACAACTTTCTTAGCAAATTCACAAACAACAACTAACTATTGGGATTCCTACACCAAAGGGTGAACAAATGAACACGCTCAGATTGAAATTACAATAAATTGAATAGATGAACGATTCACAACAATAATAACCCAGGCAAATGCATTCATGTACGTGCGTGTGTAATATATATGTATATATGTACTTACTGAAATGGAATTCCAAAACAGGACAGTTTCGGAAAGAGAAACACGGGCAGCGTATACAACAGCACTGACAGTAATACTTAAGCAGAGAAGCCAAGCCAAGCAACACCAACAAAATTCCTGCAATTATGATCGATACAATCGTAATTATATCGGTGGCGGTGGCGGTTTTGGCATCAGAATCTCCATCTGCTTTCCCTTCTCAACAGTCGCGGGTACACACTTGCTTTTTTAAAAAAAATTTAATTCACTCATTAATTAATATAAAATGCCACACACAAGACCAAACCAAAGCGACAGAGATTGACCACGTCATCAGCTAAATTTTCAAAGACGACGACCACTCGTTTGTCGTAGCGTTCAAACTGACCATAGCATGGAATCTCAGGGAAGGTTATAGCCGTTGGATGATAAATGCCGGAATCCAATCCAAGCCGTTAAGTTGGTTCAACGGCGTGCCAGACTATTACTTTTCTAGTTTCCCTCCCCAGGCCTCACCTCAAGCACTCATCAATTGCTAGGAAACTCATAACTCATTCAACAAAATTCTTGACTTTGTTTCTTTTTTGTTACAATTCCTTATCTTCCTTTTCTTTGGTATAAACGTTAAGGTGGTTTAACGGCGTGCCTAATATGACTTGTCTCGTTACTCTTCCCACCAAGCATCACCTCACCATTCATCAATTGCTTCGGAAACGCATAATTCCAACAAAATTCTCCAACTTTCCCTTTTTTACTTTTACTTTGGTATAAAAATCTAAAATATATTTCCACACAATATATTATTTTATTCAATTCACGCCAAGTATTCTTTATGTGGTTATAAATCCATATTCGATTAAACTTTAATATTTTTTTATACTAATTCATTCAAAATTAGATAAAATTAAAATAATAAAAGTAAAATATTTACCTTCTTCTTTTTCTCTCCTAATTTTCTCTCATCAATACACCATTTATCATTTTTTTTTATCTTTGTTAATAGACTATGACGTCAACTTTAACGTTGGTTATCGACACTCGATATTCTCTATTGTCTTTTTATTTTCTTTTAATTTTTTTCAACAAATCTATTTATATGACACGATTTTTCTACCTTTAAGACACGATTTATTATATCTTTTAGTTGTTTAACTGTTGTTTTCACCTATCATTTTTAAGGATTGATTTAACATCACCACGACTGATTAATATGTTGATTATATATTATATTGTTTATCTTCCCTGCTTTTGACCATCGGATTAGATTTGGATACTCGTTATGTGTTTGTGGATAACTTTTCATGTCATTCAAGTCTGATTTATGGTTTGTCGATGATATTTTAGTAGTTTGATCTTCTTTTATGGTTTGTTTTTCGATGCGATCATATCTGCTTGTATCTATCTTTGTTTGAATTTTCTTTATTAGATTTTAATATTTTCTTGTATGGTCCTTGTGTGATTATAAATTACTAGTTTTGTTTCAATAATTATGAGACAATGGCCTAATTATATGCTTAATAACTATTATTAATATAAATTTTTATTGTAATTTAATATATTTTCTATTTTGAATAAAATTAGTGATTTCTACCGGAAAAAATAGATAAAACTAAATTGATTAAGGTGGACAACTTTTATATTTAAAAATTTATTAAATTATATGTACATTATGTTCAATAAGATATATCTACACATAAATAATTATTAAAATGAATGTATTACAATTTATATTAGAAATATCAACTTAAGGAATAATTTTCTTTTCGCAATTGTCCGAAATAAGAAATATGATTGTCGTTATTAGGTGCATCAATTTAAATTTAAAATTCTTTGAATTACATTAATTTTACTCTTTAATTTATAAAAATCGTTATTGATCGTTAATGTTGACATGATACTTAACATTAATTGATATAATGAATAATTTATAATTTTTCAATAAAAATATTTAATTTTTTAATATTTTATAAATAAGTTTTTTCTTATAATAATTTATAATTTGTCATGGTACAATTTTGCTATTTTTAAATTTTATAGTATTTACTTAACTTTTACTATATTTAATAGTATTTTATTTTAAATAATTTTTAATAGTATATTTTAAATATTTTAATAAGTTTTTATATATTTATATTTAAAAATTTCAATATTATTATTAAAGTATTTTTTTGCCTAAAAAACAATTATAATATCAATAACAATTTTATTTGAAAGAATTTCGAGTTGAGTCAAATGAAATATATTTGTCAAAGTTTTGTTTCGAATTTTAATGTAATATTTATGATGCTACAATATTAACCGGTTCTAATTCAAACGACTTTTTCTAACTATATTTAATATACATACACATTGCTTCATATTCTTTTTGACATGTGTAAGTAAGATTTGTAATATTTTTAATAAATCAACCATTCATCTAAAATTATATTATATATTTATTATTTTATTTTATTAAATAAGATATTTTTATTATAAAGTATTGATGAGAGTATAAAAGAATTAAGAAATTGATGGGAAAAAAGAATTTAAAATAGTTGTAATCAAATAATTAAAATAAAATATAAAGTTGAATGACTAAATTAGGCAAAACTCTCGAGATAATGTTCTCGAAATAATTATTTCACGAGATAATGCACCATATTATTTGCTGAAATAGGATGAAATCTGCAGTGTTGGTTGTAGGTCGCCATGCCTTATGGGCGGACCTACTACGTGTACCATGCAAAACATAGGTCGACATGCCCTCCGGGCGACCTTGTAGGTCGCCATGTCATCCAGGCGACCTATGCCATCCAGGCGACCTTGTAGGTCGCCATGCCTTCCAGGCGACCTTGTTTGTAGGTCTTCATGCACTCCCAGCCCCCTTGTACGTCCAAAAAATGATGCATGTGCCATGCACGATGTCCAGCGGAGAGAGAATGATGGCCAACACTCCCACATAGGTCGCCATGCCTTCCGGGCGACCTCTAACGTCGCCATGCAAGCCCGACGACCAAGCTTCTGCTCCCTCGTGCCATATCTGCTCCCTCGTGCCATAGCTTCGAGACTGTCCCCTCCCGCTATCATAACTACATTGTTGCAGCGTAAAATCAACTGTTGCATGCAGCAATTAGTGTTACATTATTGCAGCAATTAGTGCCATACCTTTAACGTGAATTATTGAACTCATATTGATTGCAGCTTAAAACCGTGCAAAGATCGTTATATATTGGATATGAGGGGTTTAGGGTAGAATCATAAGAAAGAAAGAAAATTTGGCGAGAGAAAGGAAAGGAAAGGAAAGGAAAAGAAGAAGAAGAAAGGGAGATAAAGGCTCAAACATCGTTCGTGAGGTAATTTTTTATTGTTTAATTTAGTTGATTATATGAAATAATTAGTTTGTTAGTTTAGGGTAAAACATAAATTTAGTTAATTAGTTTGTTAGTATAAATGATTAGTTTGTTAGTTTAAGTTATATTATATTAGTTTGTTAGTTTAAGTTATATATTAGATTATATAAAAAATTAGTTAATTAGTTTCTTAGTTTAAGTTATTAAATGTAAAAAAATATTTAATTAATTTGTTAATGTGTTTAAACGTATATTAGGTTGTTTGTTGAAGTTTAAGTTATATTATAAAAAAAGTTAATTAGTGCTTAATTAGTTTTGTTAGTTAGTTATTTTAACTAAGTTATATTATAATAAAGAAATAGTTTATTGGTTTAAGTTATATTATAATATATTATGTTATATTATAATATATTTTATTATATTAAATTAATTTGTTTAATTTATTGTTGTTTAAAGAAATATTTTTTTTACACGTACATGCCATTATTCCACAACATTTGCCCACGTACAGATTGATTCGAAGAAAGAAACAAGAAAGGAAAGGAAGAAGACATAAATACGGGGTAATTTATTATTTTTTGTTGTTTATTTTTTGTTGTTGTGTATGTGTAAATTAGTTAGTTCGTTAGTTTATATTAGATTATATAAAATTAATTTGTTTAATTTATTATCGTTTAAAAAAATATTGTGTTTAAAAATATTTAGTGTTATTTTAAAAAAAATTGTTTAATTTATATTAGATTAATTGTAAATTAGTAGGAGTAAAAATTGAATTAAATATAATCTTAAAATTTATAACAATTAATTAACAAATTTGATTGATATTTAAAAAATAAAAATATTATCAAACTAATCATTATTATCAGTAATCATTACTAAATGATTAGTATACAATCTAAATCATTAAATATTTATAATAAATAATTATTAGTAATCATTGACTAAATCATATTATTATTAAATCATTAAATATCAAATCATTAGATTAATAATAATTATTAAATCATTATTATTAATATTAGTAATTAATCAATCAAGTTAAATAACAAATTTTATTTTATCATTAATATAATAGTATATTATATTATATTTAATTATTTAATGATTTATGAAATTATCTTATCTAATTTTTTAATCTAAATTTATATATTTTTTATTTGTAGAGAAAATGAGCAACAACTTTTTCACGATTGTCCATTATAATGGACAGGGAAAATGAGGTCAGAGTTGTTTTTCAGTCTGAAAAACCAATAAATATGATGTTCAAAAAAGACATCACATTTATAGAAATGAAGCAGAAGATAGAAAGAAAAATTTGAACTGCAGTAGATGGTTTGAGGTATAGATTTATGATATGTCCCAACCTAATCAGATATGTTGCAGTTCCACTTGAAGAAGATGATGATATTGGAACTATGATTGGATTACATAAGTCAATCAATATAGCAGTTATTGAGTTATTTGTTGATGTGATGTTCCTGGGTCATTAAGAGATGTGGCTCGAAATTCATCTGAAATGGCTTTCAATCGTGAGTTTAAGTACCCGACATACAGGTTCCAAAACAGTTTTATGGAACTATTAGAAAGTGGAAATGAAGTCGGAGGGATATCTACAGCAGCAGAGTATGAGACGAGAAATATACCGGAATTGGCTGTTGATATTGATGCTGAAAATCGATGGGGAGAAATTCATGATGATTCAAGCAAAGATGAAGAAACCGAAGAACCCGTTTTGGGCGACGATGAATTTTTTTTCAGTGGAGGTGCAATTGATGAAGTTCCGACACCGTAGGAAGCTACTCCTCACATGTACGAGATAGACTATGATACGATGAGAGCACCTGAATTCCCAAACATGCCACATTTATCTCCGTACCAAATGGCTGAATCATTCAATAATTCTGGTG